CCTATGCTGGGCCTTCCTGAGGTTTTCGACAACAGTTGCTAGTTCTTTCTCGTGGTGTATCGCAAACTCTCTGGTACCGGGCGGTAGCCTGTGGATCTGGTCCCGGTTCAGTCCTTCAAATGGTCTGCGCGGTCTGAAGGACTTGTGCAGCTCATTGGGAGTGCCGCAGGTGGATAGATGCACGTTGTTGTTGTATGCACTAGCTACCTTAGGCAACATCTCATCCCAGTTGATCTGATCTGGTCTAATGTACATGCGCAGAACCTGTTGTAGGATCTTGTTCATCTGTTCAGTCTGACCGTTAGTCTCTGGATGGCGGCCAGACGACATTAACAGCTTAGATCCATAGACTCTCATGAGTTCTTGCCAGTTCTGGCTGGTGAAACGACTATCCCTATCACTAACTATTGACAATGGGATTTCATTCTCACTAACCCAAAAGTCAAAGAACTTCTGTATCACTAAGTCTGTACGTGCCTGTGAGGGCAAAGGAACAAAAACTGCGTATTTACTAAAGCGGTCAACTACGACCATAACTTGGCTCTTACCATGTCTGCTCTTGACTTGGGTGTCCATGAAATCTATGGACACTGAGTCTCCCGGCTGATCCGGAATAGGCAAGGGTCTGAGAAGACCAAGGGGTATGCGTGTAGTAGTCTTGTTACGCTGGCATACTTTACAACTGCGGATGTACTCTATGCAGTCATTCTTCATTCCTGGCCAGGTATACGCGCGCATAGTCCTCAACTCGCATCGTGCGGTTGTCTGCGAGGACACTGACTATGGGTTCTACTAACTTATGGACTTTTAGTCCTAGCCTCAGCTTCTTCAGCGCCCTACAGCTAATATAACTACGGGTAGCCCCTGAGTCTATGATGGCCCCTACTCTACTTCTAAAAACCTTTACATCTACCAAAATCAGTTGTCCTTTACTCTCTCTCTTCATCTTGGCCCAGGCGGGCATTCTCTCCCTTAACTCTTATGCCACGCCTGTGAGGGACGTGCCTAAAGAGACGCTAACACAAGCAGTCTCTGGACAGCTATCTAGGCACGGGCCTGCAACCTCTGCCATCGGCTCATGTGGGCTGGGAGTGTCCTGTTCGCGCGCGCTCACTTCTCCACATGGCCTGGAAGTAGGGGCAGTTGCCACCCCTACTGGCGGCTGCCTTTTGACTGTTGGGCAGCCCAACAGGCCTGTCTATACTTAGGACAAAATTTTATTATGTGCGTCGGGTCACCATGGAATACGCACTGACCCATGTTCACGCGTTCCTGCCATAATCGTTGGTCCAAGCCCGAGTCTTCCCAGGGCCTGCCCTATGGCAAGCCTGGGTGCCATCCTCCTTGAGGTGCCCTTCCACCTCCTCGCTGCGGGGACCGAATACCTTGGCGATTTGACGGGGGACCTTGACCCCTACCTCTCGCTTGACGGTTTCCTTGTCCGCCAACCCCCTGTGCGCCCGGTCCTCGGCCTCCCATGGCCTGGCCCCTTTGGCCCTGGCCTCCTTCTCTACCTTGCGGCTTCCCTCCAGCCGCGACAGCAGCATAGGACCTCCCTTGCCCCACACTAGTGCCATCATCCTCGAGGCCCCACTCTATCTGACTGTATGGGACCTCATCAGTACCACCTTCCTCTAAGGTAAGGATCATATGATCCTTGGCCTTGACTTGGCCAGAGATGGTACGCCCTTTCCACCCTTTCCCTTTCTCCAGGTCCTTGTGCCAGAAGGTGGTAACTGGCATGGACTTTGACTCATACAGGACGACTTCCCTACTCAATGCATCATATGTGATGCCGGCCTGTTGAGACTTGTCAAAGAAATGACCACGCAGGGCTTCCGGTATGGCACGATAGAATAACTGAACCAACTGGGGCTCAGTGACCCCATGGTCCGGGACGGCTACCAAGTCGTCCATGGTACCCTTGAGTGCTCTTGCACTCCTCCACTGTTGTGAGTGGATTATTTGCAGTTTATCAGAGGCACGAACGCCTCTCGTTGGGTCTGCAAACTGCTCCTTCAGAAGCTTGAGGAATTGAGGAAGGGGGGTGACTTTAGAGTAAGCAACCAGGTTGTTCTCACAACCGGCCGCGCGCGCAAGGGACCTAGCGAAACTAGCTGCTTCGTCCTTGAGGGCCTGGAAGGCCACGAGGACTTGCTCCTCAGTTAGGATATGCTGCAAATAAATATAACTATTAACACTGGCCTCCCAGTTGTCAAAGTTCTCCTCCTTCTTTCCCCCGTACGCGTCTGAGAACTTGAGCTTTACAGGCTCTTTGCAGTCTACCTTCGCCCTTTGCAGCAGCTATGGCTTTGGCACCCTCAATGGCGCCTTCGCAGAACTTTCCTACGTTGTCCCTCAACTGTTTCACTTCGCCCCCAATGTGGGTGACAATCTCGCGCGCAAACTCCCTAACTCCGGACCACATAGCACTCAAAGCTACATCCTGTCTCCAACTTGCCTGGCACTCCTCCATCCAGGCCTTGCTCAAGATCTCTAGGTAGCCCAGTACCTTGTCCTACTTGGCCTTATCATCTGGCTGGGCCGACACCTCCGCTCTACACTCCTGCACCTTTGCCACTGCTGCGGTAATCTTATTCACTTCTTCTCTCCTCCTCCTCTTCTCCCTCTTCATTCTCAACTTCCATTGCAACTTCTGCTCGTATTCCCTCTCTCTTCATTCCATAGGATCCGTCATGGTTGCTAGCTCAGCGGCCAATGCAGCCTTCTCATCCTCAGTCACATACGACTCCGCCTCTTCATCTTCTCCCAACGATAAGTTAGCAACCCACTCGCTGATCTTCTTCTCAATCTCGGCGTCTGTGTCCTTCTTCGTGCCACTACTCCCACTACTCCCCTCTCTGCTCTCAATCCTCATTCTTTCTTTTTCTTCCTCTGCAGCCACTTCTTCTTCAGCAGCCTTCTCCTTTTTCTTCATCTCCTCCTCCACTTCCTTCATCTTCGCCGCGCGCTCGTCTGCGATAGCCTTTAGCTTCGTTTGCTTCACGTTCTTTCCTCTCCCTATTCTCTTTGACTAAGGCGGCCATCTTTCTTGCTGCTCCTTGCTATAGGGGCTCGTGTCTAACCCACTACGGGTCTCAACCATGGTGACAAGTGTACAACCGGGTTAGTGGTTCCAAACCTCACCACGTAGACCCTAACCCCTGACTGACAAACCCATAGACTCAATCTAAGACTTACAGAATCCTGACAGGGATCCTGTCAACTATAGTCTCTAGCCTAGACCTATGCTATGGCTGTCACTACTGAGCCAGTGGCTGATCAGGAGGCATTTAAGGAGATCCCCCATAACTCCGCAAGAATTCTTTAACGTCGCAGACAGGACGACATGATCAGCTTGGTTCTGCCTGTGCTTTCAGCCCACAACTCAGCCTTTCCGGCCTACTGTGCCACACCGAGCAAACCTGTAGACTCAATCTAAGACTTACAGAATCCTGACAGGGATCCTGTCAACTATAGTCTCTGGCCTAGACCTATGCTATGGCTGTCACTACTGAACCAGTGGCTGATCAGGAGGCATTTAAGGAGATCCCAAGTAACTCCGCAAGAATTCTTTAACGTCGCAGACCGGACGACATGATCAGCTTGGTTCTGCCTGTGCTTTCAGCCCACAACTCAACCTTTCCGGCCTACTATGCCACACCGAGCAGCCCGCCAGTCTGTACCGGTCCTTGGGAGGGTTTGACCTCTGGGACAGTCGAGTCGTCAGACACAGATCCTCAGCCTTACTTGGTCCGGTAGGGGAGTGGTTCAAACAGGCCATCAACACTTAAAGACTACCTGGTGTGTCAGCCCTAATTGTCGTTCAGGCCCTCTGAGTCCTACCAACAGTTTCCAGCCGGTCAGCACCGGTCCTTGGGAGGGTTATGCCCCCGTGGAAAGTTGGATCAGCCACAGTCTCAGCCCTACAAGGTCAGACTAGGGTTTCGCCATCCAAGCCCTATCCTTCATCCACAAAGTACTATGACCTAGGACAGAAGAGACTCAATGCAGAAAGAATGGACAGACAGACTGTACTCAGCAAGTACCAAGGGGTATGTACACATCAATAGGGCAAGGGGTAGGCTAAGGGCTTGGCGAGATGTTACCAACTCCAGCTTGGTCAAAATCTTGGTCAACGTCGGTCAACTATGCGGTCAACCCTCGGTCAACACCCGGTCAACTATGGTAACGCCGATCAACCCTCTCGGTCAACTCCCCGATCAGCTATGGTTGCCGACTCTTCTTCCTCGCCAGTCCTTCTTTACCTCCCTCGCTGTCTTCTTCTTTCTCTCTTTTTTTTTTTTTTGATCGGCCTCTTCTTCGCCTCTTGGCTATGGCCGCTTTCTTTTTCCTTCGTGGCGCAGCAACTTCACAGGTAAGTGACAACCAAACTTGTATCGCTCATCTCTCTCTCTCTCTCTCTCNTGCAGCACTATGGCTGGTGGGAGCAGTGCAAGGGGTGCGATTGCTGGACAAGGAAGTCGGAGGCAGTTGGAAAGAGGAGAGGGCAGCGGGAAGGATATCGCGAGCTCAAGTACCCCTTCGTCGGGGGTGACTTCTGAAGACCCCACACCGGCAACTGACCCCTCCCTGTTCGTCCCACAGCCTGAAGAGAGGCAAAAGAAGCTGCAGGGAGAGAAGGAGATATGGAAGCACGTGGAGTAAGGGCAGGAGGCTGTGCCGAAGGGCCGGGGAGAGTATTGGCTGCGGTGTTGGCTATGCTCGACCATTTGGAGGGGCACGAGCACACGAGCAGTTGAGCACTTCATGAAGATGCTCAGGTCGTGCCCCTTCCGGACAAGGGAGATTGTGCATAAGCTGATGGCCCAAGGGGTGAAGGTGTTGCCAAGCAACAAGAAGACTCGCTACCTATTGCACAACTACCAACAGCTGCACAACATCTCCGGGGGGGGGGGGGGGCTGCAGCTAACGACGATGATGCGGACGCGGTTGTTCGTCGTGGTTACGAGGAGCCACAACCGCCGGTCGAGGAGATGGCGCAGCGGGGAGAGGAAAGTGGAGCGGGGGAGACGCTGCGAGAAGAGTGTCAATCTACCACAAGGGCGGCTCCGGTGCAGCAAACAACCATCATGAGATGGGTGGACAACGCAGCTCAAAAGAAGTTGGACATTGCATGGGCAGAGGCAATGTTCTGGGCGGGAATCGCGTTCAATTTTTTGAACTTCGACACCACTCTCAAACTAAATGAGGTGTATTTGGAGGTTGCTAGCGCACGACCAAAGGTGAAATTGCCTTCTGCAAAGCACATCCGGACGGTGATGCTCGACTTCATCTTTTTGCACATTCAAAATCAAGTGCAGCCTCTGACTGCATGTTGGGATGTCACGGGCTGCACTTTCATCACAAACGGGTCGACCGATCAGAGGGGAAGACCTGTCATGAATTTCTTGGCGGCGGGGGAGCAAGGAGAGGTGCTGGTGGCAACAGTGTCGATGGATGGAAAGAAGAAGACCGGACCAGCACTGGCCAAACTTTGGGAGAAGATAATGAGGGAGATCGGGCTGCAATGCATCAATGCAATTTGCACCGACAATGCGGAGGTGAACAAGAAGGCCGCGCAGATTTTGGAGTGGCGCACGAACTTGCAATCAGACTCGTTCTCAAACACACTTTTCCGGTACGTAAACAACAAAGCAGCAACTGGCGACATGCGCCCACTCAAACTCAGAGATATGGCTTTCAGATACGAGTTCACTCTCAATTGGCTATGGCGACTTCAGCGCCCAAACAACTCACTGTTCACACACACTAGATCACCCTGGATATCCCACACGCATCACTCCGAACACTCGACACACACACACACTCTCTACTAACTACAACTATGGCAGCTATGGCTGCATCTAACCTATCGCTATACTAACTCCTCCTCTCTCGCCCACTTCGTCCTCCGGGCGCATCTGCAGACCTCCTTGCACAAGTCGTTGTGGCAGCGCTTCCGCATGGCTCACGCAGGAATGAATGAAGGGCTGGGCGCTGCCCCTTGATTTATACTTCAGAAACTCGTTGGTCTGCCCTTTGCCATCTGCCCATGGTGCTCACAGTCCCCCCGTGGTACTTGTTGGACCGGACTGGGTTGACTGGACCTCCCGCTGACTGACTATGGACTCACCGCTATCCTACCGACATCGTGCTGTTGTTGCACTGCAGTTTAATCCACCACTTGCCTCCCTTCTAGAAGGTCTACAGCTAAGCTTCCGGAACTCACTAAGACTTCTACGCTATAGACCTACAGATCGAACCCCTGCTGCCTATGGACCTACAACATACCTACCAACTGTCTACGAATACACAGGTCACAGGTTCAACTCTCGGGGTCTACACAGACACTGTACATGGGTAGGGTGAGGTCTAGGGGTCGAACCCTAGGTACTGCATCCGCTACTGCTAAAAGGTGAAAACCGTTTCAAACTTGGCGGTTTCATGGATACCTGGGGTTTCGTGTGCTGCGCATTGCTGCAGCTCGCTGCTACGGGACATCAACAAGTTCGATTGGATCAAGGGCACGGTGAAGCGGAGCCACACCATTGTCAAGTTTATACGGAACAAGCACTGCACACATAGCCTAATGATGTCGTTGGACGACTCATTATTGCTCTTGCGACCGACCGAGGTCCGTTTTGGGTCGGTCTACATGATGATGGAGCGGTGGTACGATCGGAGGGCGATTTTGAAGCAGATGGTCGAAGGGAGCCTAGTCGGGAGATGGAAGGCGATGCGGTGGTCGACGACCAAGCTGCAGTCCAAAGCGGATCTTGTCTTCTTCACATCGCGGAGTGAGGGTTGGTGGCCCGAGTTGAAGAAGGTGGTGGCGGTGATGGAGCCATTGTATGTATTGCTTCGGAGGATGGACAAGGACGGGACCGCCCCGTCAAACCTTGTGGAGTACGACCGGCTATTGGAAAGGATTCTGGCGGAGGTCGTGCTGGCGGGGGAGCAGCGACGTACGGTGCTCGAGAAGGTGAGGGACCGCATGAAGATGATGCGGCAACCGGGACACGCCTTGGCTTTTCTTCTCGACCCGCGGAGGAGAGAGCCGAAGTGGTTGTTGGACCGGGACATCGCACTTGTGCAGAATGCGTTGCGTTATTTGCAGCGGCAGATCGGAGGTGCTTGGACATCAGACGCCCACGTGCAGATTCTCAGATATTTTCACACGAAACCGACCGGACACAATCCCCGACGGAAGAACAAGAAAATGTGGGACGGTGTTGCGGTCGCAGATTCTCGCCATCGGAGTGGTGGGCAACTCATGTCGGCGATGTGCCGGAGCTGCAGGCCATTGCCATGAAAGTAATGGGCATGTGTAGCACGGTGACTCCGGCGGAGCGGAATTGGTCTTCGATGGACTTGGTCCACTCGAAGCGGCGGAATCAGTTGAACCCCTCAACCTTGGAGAAGTTGGTGTATATTCACTGGAATATACAGCTGCTGCACTCCGAGAAAAACTTGAAGGACGTCGGCTACATCGACTTGTGGGCACAGTTCTTCGAGTCTCTTCCGGAGCCTGAGGCGGACGATCGTTATATTTTGAAGGACCCGGTGGAGGAGAAGGACAAGACGGAGGAGGAGCTGGTGCAGGAACGGGCCTTCATCAAGACACCAAAGGGTCGGATTCTGAAGAGCCTCGAAGACGAGGAGGAGGAGGAGGACTGCACCGATGACAACGACCTTGACGACGAGGTGTGGAAGGGGAAGACTTCATGGTCGGAAGCATCTAGCGAAGGGGAAGTTGATGAGTCATCGGACGATGACTTTGAGTTGGAAATCCCGTCGTCAATCCCGTGCACTACATATGTCGGGAGGAGGGAAGCAGCACAGCGCCGTCGAGAACGGCCACCCACAACACCATCTCAATGCATGGCGAACACCACAGCGCATTACAGCATCCAATCGGATATCGAGGTACCACAGACTGACACCGACATGGAGATGACGCTTCACCGCAGTCCAATCAACACAGATGAGGAGGAGGCCGACCGTGCAAAGGCATGGGCTGATGCGGATCAAGAACGGGTGCAAAGGAGAATGAGGGAGGAGGAGGAGCGACGCGCAACGATACCAACCCGTAGAGAATTGGAGAAACTGAAGAAGAAGGTTGGAGAGCAAGAATCGGAGCCAGTGGGGAATACGGGCCCGCTAGAGGAGGAGAAAGACGAGGCGATGGGCCAGCGAGAGGAGGAGGCAGAACACGAGATTGGCCAGCCACGGGAGGAAGAAGAAAAGATGGAGGAGCAAGAGGAGGGAGAAGAAGAGGCTGGCATGGAACAGCAAGAAGAGGAGGAAGAGGAGGGAGAAGAAGAGGCTGGCATGGAGCAACGAGAGGAGATGGAACAGGAGCAAGGGGAGTGCACAAAACAGCAAGAAGAGGAGCTGGAGAGGAGCAGCAACAAAAAAAGACGGCGAACATCGAGGAGAAGGAGCAGCAGCATGCACCGATGACCGTGTACAAGCGTCGGAAGCAAACTGTGGAGGCTGCTGGCTCACCGAAAAATTCCCCCGATTTCCCAGCCAGCAACGCGGAAGCCCAACACGACAACTTGTGGGTCAGCACGGTTGGGAGGAAGAGGAAGGCGCCCCGTGAGGACGAACGGACGAAGCCAAAACTTCCACGTGGCAGGCCTCGGAAGAACGCGACTGCCGGTCCGGCTGCAAAGCCGGAAAAAAAAAACAGCGGTGCAAGGCTCGCAAACAAATTGTTGAGGATGACCCCGAATCCGGCAACTGCAGCAAGAAGTTTGCCGAAGACGAGGGTGGCACCGCTGACTGAGATGGTGTGTTCGTGTTTATGAGTGTGTGTGGAGAGAGAGAGAGAGAGAGGAGGGTGGCACCGATGACTGAGAGAGAGAGAGAGAGAGAGGGAGAGAGAGGAGGGTGGCACCGCTGACTAAGATAGAGAGAGAGAGAGAGAGAGGGAGAGAGAGGAGGGTGGCACCGCTGACTGAGAGAGAGAGAGAGAGAGAGAGAGAGAGAGAGAGAGAGAGAGAGAGAGAGAGAGAGAGAGATGTGTTCGAATGTGGACCGATATTGGCCATATGCAGCTGATATGCTGCTAAAGAACTCATAGATTCCCTGCAAGTTGTCAGTCTAAAAGTCTTCTTCCTCGTCTTGTCAATCTTATCAGTCTTCTTCTTCTTCTCCTTCTCGTTAGTCTTCTTCATTTTTTGTCAAAATGAAAGGGTCGACAAGTTCATAGCATGCATGCAGCAGACATCAGAGCAAACATGCAGAGCACCCAACCCAGTAGGCAACATACATGCAGGGCCCCCAACCCCCAAACAACCCCATCAACCTGTCTCTTATACACATCTAGATGTGTATAAGAGACAGGAAGACGAGGCTGAATATTATATATATATCGTCAATATATATCGTCAAATAGAACTGCCCGGTAAATATATATATCGTATATATATCGTCAAATAGAACTGCCCGGTAAACCGTAGGCAGAGAGGGAGAAGAGGACAACAAATGAGGGGCTGTGACAAACTGTTTCGTCGGAGTTTCACCGACTCATCAGGAGGCTGAATATTATATATCTGTCTCTTATACACATCTAGATGTGTATATATCGTCAAATAGAACTGCCCGGTAAACCGTAGGCAGAGAGGGAGAAGAGGACAACAAATGAGGGGCTGTGACAAACTGTTTCGTCGGAGTTTCACCGACTCATCAGGAGGCTGAATATTATATATATATCGTCAATATATATCGTCAAATAGAACTGCCCGGTAAATATATATATCGTATATATATCGTCAAATAGAACTGCCCGGTAAACCGTAGGCAGAGAGGGAGAAGAGGACAACAAATGAGGGGCTGTGACAAACTGTTTCGTCGGAGTTTCACCGACTCATCAGGAGGCTGAATATATATTTCTGGGCATTTTTTTTGCCCGTCCGGTTTACCCAGGCGGCCCCCCTAGGCCCGACCAACCGGGCCGAGCCCAGTCGGACGGCGTCCTCACCCAACTTTTTTTTCATATTTTGGGTTTTTCTTTTTTATACACCTTTGGATTCCCCCCCTCTTGCTCATGTGTGATACTAATGAACAGACTGAGCCCGTTTGTTTTGAAAACGGGCAGCAGTCTGTTGGAGGAATCCTTAGCACCTGAATTTGGCACTCGGGCTGCACCACATTCAGGCGCGAGGAAAGATGACCCTATTGAGCTTGACTCTAGTTCATGACTGAGCTTGGAAGGGCGGCCGTTCATTTCGAACGACGGGTTGCACTGCACTGGAAAAATGAAAACGGGAAGGAAAGCAGGGGTATGTAACGGCCACGTACGTGGCCCCGAGTTTAGAGCAGATACAGGGGTAGAACAAAGAAGAAGAGGGGAGGAAAAGAAGAGAAGGGGAAAACGGTCGTGGAATAGGTGCAGCCCCCAAAAGCTTCTAGGGGCTGATAGGACTGCGCCTGTTCAGTTGAACATACGGTCCTAAATTGGCTGCGTACAGCCATTTCCAAGAGCACCTGGCGTGAAAAACGGCCAGGTACTCCTGGAATCTGATGACCCTGGTTCCCGTAGGGGAAAACCAAGGCATAGGGCTCCTGGCCATTGATTTAGATCAAGGGCCAGGAGCACTGACGAATTTTGCCTGGCTGTGGGCAAAGAAGTTGCCCACAGTCTTCAGCTGGCTATAAAAGCCAGCACTCCACCCAGCAGCCTCACACTTGTTGCAGTGCTTCTGGGCCATTCACCTGAGTGAATGCTGGCTGGCTGCTACTGTGGGACGGTGCTGCAGGAGAAGAGGAACTGTTGCTGGCGGAGTGGAGGTCTGCAAGGAATTTGGAAGAGGAGAGGGGAGGCAACCATAGCCGAGGTTGAGAGCTCACCGCCCCACCTCTGCGTGGGGCCACGACTGGTAGGCTGCGACAGGAGTTGGGCTATGTGGTGAACAACAGGCGTTGGGGATATGCTGTCGGATTTACCGTGCAGCGTCAACCTTTGTGTGTATGGGGAGATACTGCCCGTCGGACGGCGCAATAACTACGACATTTTTCCAGGGGTTATGCTACCGAAATTTTGATTCGGCGGCGGGTTTTTCAAGGGGAGGTGTTGTCGAGGTTGCCACATGATGTCGGCATCCTTTTTAATGTGAGTGCAGGGAGGTGCTGCTCGATCAACAGCGCGGCAATGACAGTGTATCCGGTGGAATCACGTTGTCGAAATTGGTAGTGGTGTCAATATTAGTTTTGTTGAGGTTATGCTGTTTGGTTGGTGGCACATCGGCGACACTATTGTAAGGGAAAATGTTGCGGATCTTTTGCGTCACAGCGGAGGCGATTTTTTTTTTGTGTGATCTGACGGTGGTGTTGCGGGGCAGCCATGGTACAGGTTTTGGCGGCACAGCAAGCAGTGGTCCGCCGTTATTTTTGTGGTGCACGGCGGCTATGACGGATCCCAGTATGGCCTAGAGGTTGGGCTGGCGTTGGTGCACGATTAGGTCTGTGCGTTAGCGATATGTGGACGGACGGTGTGAGGGTGGCACGGAATGAATGCTTGCGGCAACAGTTAATGCAGTGCGGTACTTGCGGTTTGCGCCGGGACCTCGCGGCACTGCGGTTGTCAGCCAGGGCCACCTTTATTTGTTTTTGCGGCGCGCAGTGCAAGCGAGATTTGAGTTAGGGACCATCCAGTGCTGCGGCGGTAGCATGGAACCATCTGAAATCATTTTTGGAACCTGGTGGGACAGATTTTGAGATCAGGACCGGCATGTTCATGTGGTTATTGTGAGCAGACAGGATGTGTGGCATACTTCGTAGCCACACGGGCCTGCAGGGCCCGTCCCGCATTCTCAGCCTAAAAGCCTAGAAAATAGGGCTTACAGGCCCCATGTCGTTTCAGCCTGAAACTGAAAACGAGGGCCTATTTCGTTTTCAGCCTATATCAGGGCTTTTCAGCCCTGAGGCTTTTTAGCCTGAAACAGAGAGCCACTTTCGGGCCCTCATAAGATCGACCTACCCTAAGACTCAGGCACAAAAACAGGGTTGTGGGAACAGGCTATTTTTGGCCTGTTCCCCACGACAGCCTCGAGCAGGAGCTGCAGCGGCAGCCCCTGACTGCCTTCGGCATTGGCAAGAGAAGCCTCCTGGACTGCCCCTCCTGCAGCCAGGAGGTACCCGAGTAATACATAGGAAGTCCCCATGCCCTTCACGGGTAGGTAGTTGGACAGTAGGCACGAGTAGTCTTCAGGATTCAGCCGCAGCACTCAGGAGGAGCGTTGGCAGTAGTAGTTAGCGCTAGCAGTAGTCTTTAGCGCTGGGCGCTCATAGCTGTAGGAGTAGACTTCAGCGCCGGGCGCTAGTAGCTGGTAGTGGTAGCGTTGGAGAGAGATGGCTGGCGGAGGCCAGCGGTACCTACATGTGGCGCCATAGCTCCAGCTCCATCTTCGAGGTACCTGCATCAAGGCGCCAACTTCACAGGTTAGTACTGGACACAGAGAGTTCTTCTTCTTCCTCTTCTGAGTCCACCATCTCTTCTTCACCCTCTCACCACCTTACTTCTCAGTAGCAGCAGACTACTACAGAGAGAGAGAGTTGTGACTTGAGACTTGATGACATTGGATCCAGACACGACATTGGGACTCAGAAATTTGACGAGGGACTATTTGGGCCTGTGCCGAAGACTTGGTGTTGACGATATTCCCATCTTACCCTCTTCTTCGTCTAACCCCCCTCTTCTTCGTCTGTGTATGGTTCGGGGTTGGCGCATTCTTCCTGTGTGAGCGCCAGACCCCTTCACACCATGGAGATGATGATGATGATGTATGTTCTGGGCTGCATTGCAATATTGATTGTTYGGATCATTGGYATCTAAGTTTTCCGCTGYGCTATCTTGTACTTTGTATTGAGAGGTCGGTTCTTGTTCTGGTCTGCACCSTTACRGTATGCAACAGTTTGGTATCGGAGCGGACCTCTCATTCAGAGGACCCGCTCAATCAAGTAGCCAGCTTGCTTGATCTATTGATTACTCGTTAGTAAATCAAGTAGGACTTCGTCAAATCTCTGAATTTTTTTTTTCTTTTCTCGCAACAACTATCTGAAAATTTCTGATATTCGCATTTCGTTTTACCTGAAAATTTCTGATATTGGTATTTCGTTTTCACATAACAAATATCTGAAAACTTCTGATAAATCGATAGTAGCATTTCGTTTCTCTGATATTTCGCATACATAGCTGAAATTCTATGATGTTAGTATTTCGTTTTCTAGGCTTAGTAGGATAACGATAGAAGTGGTCATATTCTCAAAAACCGAAATTATTCCTTTTTGAAAATCGAATTTCCACTCTATATCGCGAAAAAAAATTCTTTTCGAAACCGAAATCTTGCGAAGCCTACCAACATTTCGTTAGGCATATTCGGAGGTTGCCATATTCTCAGAAACTGGACTTCGTTCTTTTCTAAAAATCGCATCTTGCTCTATTTCGCAAAAAAAAAATTCAAAGATCGCATTTCGTGAAAGTCGAAACTTTGCGGAAACTAGCCTAGATCTCGTTCATAGTACTCTTCTGACATGTCTCACTCATAATAGATCGACAGTTATACAAAAAAAAAAAGAGAAGGAAGTAGTCCTCTTTTATTTTTTTATTTATTTTTTTATCTGTTGATTAGGGTCGGGAGGAAAGTATTGTTGGGTTGGTCTCCTACCTGCGTTTTCCCTCCCACCCACCCCTTTGCATGCATTTCCGAGTTGGTACAGTGCCACGTCAGCAGTGCCACGTCAGCAACAGTGCCACGTCAGCAACAGTGCCACGTCAGCAGTGCCACGCCAGCAGTCCCACGTCAGCCACAGTGCCACGTCAGCAGTGTCACGGCAACAGTGCCCCGCCACCATGACGGGCGCAGCTCTGGGCATTCCAGGCCAACTGGCCAACGAGTCTATTGCCGACTACAAACAGCGGTTCCAGACTCAGCTCGCATTGATCGAGGATGAGGAACATCGCCAGCTGGCAGCCGAGGCTGCCCGCCTACAGATGGAAGCAGCGGCAACAGCTGAGAAGCAGCGGCTCCAAACCGAAGCTGAAGCAGATGCCCAGGCACGCCGCAAGGAAGCCCAGGATCTGCTGCAGCGGCACGAAGCCGCCGGCATCGAAAGACTCAAGTTCTGGCACTTTCAACCATCCAACGGCGACGACGCGACACCGGAGGAGCAGCACAAGGAGTTCCTCTCCAAACTTGTAACACGGTTGTTATACGCTTGCAACTACCGACAGTCCGAGTTAGAGAGACAGAACCAGGAACTGCAGCAACAGTACCAGGATCTGAAGAAACAGCACCAGGAGTTGGCGAACCTCCGTCGAACAGTGCAGAGCCACGAGGATGCTACACGGGCACTCAATTCCCGTGTACTGGACCTGGAGCAAGCTGCACCAGGACCAGATGCTGGCGAGTCCAGCAGTGCACCCTCTACCCGCCAACTGGAGGAACGCGTCGACCACGTCGTCGCAATGCTCGGCGACATCAGCACCTTCAAGGCACCAACCACCATCAACAATCAGCTGGATACCTTGAAGACCGAGGTCCAGCAACTGCAGCTGCCTAACAAGAATGGCAACAACACACAGCATTACAAGATGCCAACTTTTCAAATTGAGAAGTTCGATGACTACACGCATCACGACCCGGTCCTCTGGTGGGAAGGTTTCACGACGTAACTTCGAATTCTGTTAGTCGCCAAGCACGCGTACATCGGCGCCCTGTTTCTTAACTTAAAGGGCGGATGCCAGATCTGGTTAACCCACCTGGCAGCCACCCACGGCGTCGACGTCGCAGATCTGAAAGACAAGATCACATGGGAAGAGTTAACATGGTTGTGGAAGAAGCGGTTCATCGTGGACGACGCACCTGCACTCGCCATCAACCGTCTCTTCAACATGACACAAGGCAACACAGCAACACGTGACTGGCTCACGGAATGGCAGAAGATCGCAACAACGCCCGATCTCGACTTGCCATTTGCGCATCTGCGCCGTGAGTTCTACAACAGGTCATGCGCTGCATTGAGCCTTGCTCTTGGTGATCGCGAGCAGTATGCAACCTTCACTGAGATCATTGACAAAGCGAGGGAGATCATCAAGACCAACAGGGCGGCTGCACACGAGAGGTCAGCGTGGCAGCCAACCTATGTGGAGAAGGTCAAAACTGGTCCGTGACAGCAGCAGTTCGTTGCAGTCCAATCGGACAACACTGTGGAAGACCCGACAGCCACCCAAGCATCACGTGAGGGAGATCAGGTGGCTGTTGTCCAGCCGCGAAGCAACAACAAGTCCCGAAGAAACGGGAAGGCGAAATCAGCATCGCAGGCCGAAAACGGACAGCCAGCACCGCGGGTCAAGTTCAACTTGACCGAGGTCGAGTACAAGTACCGCGGCCGTTACGGCTGCTGTTACTGGTGCAACAGCACCAAGCACAAGCCTCCCTTTGTCAGGATCAGGCCAAGGAGGATGTGCAGTCTCGTCTTAACTCGGGAAACTGAGTTCCGCGGGAGGTGAGGCGACTCAACCTCCCACTCCGCCAGATTCGGCGGCCTTGCTAGCGGCCTCCTACACATCTGGGGAGGATGCCAATGTCGTAAGTTCTCGATATGCTTATGAGGACTATGCTGTCCACTTGGTCCCACCGCTGGACCAACCGCTCCACATGCAACAATCTACCGCATGCACGGTTTCATCACCATCGGCAACCGATTCGGCAGCTTCGCCGCCATCTACCGCCGGGGATTCAACGTCATGGTCAAGACTTGAAGAGCTCGACCCGTTGACTTTTGCGGACTTCCAATGGACGCCCCTTCCCCAGTCCAGTCGATTGCCGAAACCGCATTGCAAAGTGCTCATGGCACAACTGCGGGATTACTTGCACACTGCAGTACCAGCTCCGTTGATGGACGCCGAAGTAGAGGTTGTCGACCTTCACGCCTGCATTGCGAAGATCGATTGCGAGTTCAAGACGCAACGGTACGACGACATCGACGCACCATTGCTATATGTACGCATTCAGATCGCAGAGGCGACCTGCAGCGCTTTGATCCATTGCGGAGCATCTCGCAACTACATCAGCCAGGACTTCATGGTGCGTGTCGGCCTTGGCCCACTCGTCCGGTGGAAGTCCAGGCCCACGCAAGTCATGTGGACGGTCACACGCACAAGTCAATCGACCGGTGCATTGATGACGTCCCAGTGTACTTTGCCCCTCACGCAAGTGAGGCGGTGTCCTTTGACATTCTGGACACCAAATTCGACATGATCTTGGGCATGTCATGGCTGCGAAGCGAGGACCACCCGGTGAACTTCTACCGCTGCACAGTCACGTTCGTGATCGGAACGGAGTACTAGCCCCATGCACGGTGTCTCCTCCTCACCCTTCTATCAGTTGCCACGTGGTATCCGCAGCAAGCATGCGAGCTTCCATCATCAGAGACGACATCGAGGAAATGGGGGTGTGTTTTCTCCACGCCCTCCTGCTCCATGACGCTTCACCGATGGACTCATCTTCGGATCCACGCATCACCGAGCTTCTCGACGCCTATAGCGACATGTTCGAAGGCCCGCACGGAGTAGTACCGGATCGGCCCATCCGCCACGAGATCATCCTCGAGGACGGGGCCGTACCTCCGCGCGGTTGCATCTACCAAATGAGCGAGGAAGAGTTAAGTGTGCTTCGGGCACAACTCGATGACCTTCTGGAGAAAGGCTGGATTCGGCCTAGCTCATCGCCATACGGTGCTCCTGTTCTCTTCGTCAGGAAGAAGAACAAGGATTTGCGGTTGTGCATCGATTATCGCAAGCTCAACGTGCAAACGATCAGAAACGCCGGCCCTCTCCCAAGCATCGACGACCTTCTCGAGCGACTGGGCGGCGCCAAGTTCTTCTCCACGTTGAACCTCAAGTCGGGATATCATCAACTCGAGATTCGGAAGGAGGATCGCTACAAGACTGCGTTTAAGACGCGATATGGGCATTTCGAATGGTTGGTTATGCCATTTGGCCTTACGAATGCCCCGGCCACTTTCCAAGCGGCTATGAGAACGGAGTTCCGACACATGCTGGATCGTTTCGTACTTGTCTACCTCGACGACATCCTGGTGTACGACCGGAGTTTGGACGAGCATGTGGAACACCTGCGCACCGTTTTGGAGCGGCTACGACAAGCCAAGTACAAAGCCAACCGCGACAAATGCGAATTCGCGCGGCAGGAGCTGGAGTACTTGGGACATTATGTGACGCCGCAAGGCATCCGTCCGCTCGCGGACAAGATCGAGGCCCTACGAGTATGGCCCGAGCCCACCAACACCACGGACGTTCGTTCATTCATGGGGTTGGCGGGCTACTATCAGCGATTCATCACCGGATACTCAAGGATTGTTGCACCTATGACGAGAAGGTTCCATTCGTATTCGATGACGACGCACGCCGGTCATTCCAAGCACTTAAGATGGCTATGCTCATGGCACCCGTCCTTAGCATCTATGACCCCACCCTGCCGACGAGAGTGACAACTGACGCTTCCGGCTATGGCATTAGGGCAGTCTTGGAACAACACGACGGCGACGACTGGCACCCTGTGGAGTATTTCAGCCACAAAGTGCCTCCCATCAATTCGCTTGATGATGCAAGGAAGAAGGAGCTGCTCGCATTCGTCATGGCTCTCAAGCGATGGCGGCACTTCCTCCTTGGGCATCGTAGGTTCACTTGGGTTACGGACAACAACCCACTGACTTACTACAAGACGCAGGATACGGTGAACAGCACGATCGAACGATGGATGTACTTCATCGACCAATTTGACTTCACACCGAAACATCTTTCTGGCCTCTCCAATCGCGCAGCAAATGCACTCTCGCGAAGACCTGATCTTTGCGCTATGACACATCATGCCTTCGCATTCGATGAGGAACTTCAGCGACACTTCATCTGGGGATATGAGTCGGATCCGGACTTCGCCACATTGTATGCGCAACTATCTTCAGATCACCCGCCGGCCAGCCACTATCGCATTGTCGACGGGTACTTGCTCCTCCACTCGAGAGGCAAAGACTTATTGTGTGTCCCACGAGACCGTCGTCTTTGAACTCGCCTTCTCGGTGAGTATCATGACTCGTGACTCGCCGGCCATTTCGGAGTCAACCGCACCATTGCACGGCTTCGACAACGATTCCGATGGCCAGATCTCATTACCGATGTCACTCGGTATTGCGACTCTTGCGAAGTTTGTCGACGAAGCAAGCCCCGCAATCGCAACCCCTACGGCGAGTTGCACCCGATGCCTATCCCACGGGAACCCGGCCTCTTCATTGCCATGATGTCACCGGACCACTTCCTCGTGATTGCCTCGGGCGCGACGGCATCCTCACGATTGTGGACCGTTTGAGTAAGTATGCGTGTTTTCTCCCTTGCAAGTACTACTCCACTGCTCCCGAGCTGGCACGCCTCTTGCACACCGGTTGGATTTGTGGCCAAGGTGTACCGGAAGACATAGTCAGCGACCGCGACACTCGCTTCATGTCGGCATTTTGGACTGCTCTCATGCAGGAGTCCGGCACGAAGATGAAACCAAGTTCGGCTCGGCATCCTTAGACGGACGGGCAGACGGAGCGGGCACATCAAACCGCTAAAATGATGCTTCGTACGCTCATCCATCCGGACCAGAAAGATTGGGTTGACCGCCTCCCCGACATCGAGTTCGGCTACAACACTTCGGTGCACCCGGCGATCGGCGTGACTCCATTCGAGTTGCACCACGGTGGACGGAAAGGCCGTATCTTCGCCGACCTTTTCCTCCCACGACCAGCCGACATCGATGCCGCTTGCTCTCCCGCTTCCGTCCAGAAGTACAGGGAATTGTTAGCTCAAGCCCGCACAAATATGCAAAAGGCTCAAGTCTGCATGCAGCAGCAAGCCAACAAGCATCGCGTGCCATATCCCATCCGCGCCGGCGACCTGGTTTGGGTTTCCGCAAAAGAGTTTGCACTGGAACAGGATGTCTCTCGCAAACTGCTTCCCAAGTGGTTTGGACCATGGCCCGTAACATCAGTCGTGGGCGATGAGCCGGATGGCCCTTCATTTGTGATCAACATTCCCCCACATCTAACGGTCCATCCAATCTTTCACGCCTCGAAGCTGGCAACATACACGCCAGCTAAGAGCGGCGACTTCCCGGGCCGACGATCGCAGGACCCTCCTTCTATGGATGGCCAGCAGGAAGTTGACCGCGTCATCACCGATCGCATGTACGCCAGCAAGCCGCGACAGTACAAAGTTACATTCAAAGCATGCGATGGCGACGACACTCGGTGGATTTCAGGAGCAGATTTGAAAGCATCCGCACCGCTGATCTACGCGCATTATGAGAAGCAAAGGTTAGCTCAGGAAGCTTCACGACCAGCCCCTCCCACCCGGACTGTGGTCCCTCCCTCAGACAGACAGCTTCGCCCTCGCAGGTAAGCTCGGTCTTTCAAGGGGGGGGTGTGGCATACTACGTAGCCACACGGGCCTGCAGGGCCCGTCCCGCATTCTCAGCCTAAAAGCCTAGAAAATAGGGCTTACAAGCCCCATGTCATTTCAGCCTGAAACTGAAAACGAGGGCCTAGAGGCCCTATTTCGTTTTCAGCCTATATCAAGGCTTTTCAGCCCTGAGGCTTTTTAGCCTGAAACGGAGGGCCACTTTCGGGCCCTCATAAGATCGACCTACCCTAAGACTCGGACATAAAAACAAGGCTGTGGGAACAGGCTATTTTTGGCCTGTTCCCCACGACAGCCTCGAGCAGGAGCTGCAGCGGCAGCCCCTGACTGCTTTTGGCATTGGCAAGAGCAGCCTCCTGAACTGCCTCGCCTGCAGCCAGGAGGTACCCGAGTAGTACATAGGAAGTTCCCATGCACTTCACGGGTAGGTAGTTGGACAGTAGGCACGAGTAGTCTTCAGGATTCAGCCGCAACACTCAGGAGGAGCGCTGGCAGTAGTAGTTCGCGCTAGCAGTAGTCTTCAGCGTTGGGCGCTCATAGCTGTAGGAGTAGTCTTCAGCGTCGGGCGCTAGTAGCTGGTAGTGGTAGTGGTAGCGTTGGAGAGAGATGGCTGGCGGAGGCCAGCGGTACTTACCTGTGGCGCCATAGCTCCAGCTCCATCTTCGAGGTACCTGCATCAAGGCGGCAACTTCAGAGGTTAGTACTGGACATAGAGAGAGAGAGAGAGAGATTTCTTCTTCTTCCTCTTCTAAGTCCACCATCTCTTCTTCACCCTCTCACCACCTAACGTCTCAGTATCAGCAGACTACTACAGAGAGAGAGAGAGTTGTGACTTGAGACTTAACGACATTGGATCCAGACACGACATTGGGATTCAGACATTTGACGAGGGACTATTTGGGCCTGTGTCGAAGACTTGGTGTAGACGACATTCCCATCTTACCCTCTTCTTCGTCTAACCCCCCTCTTCTTCGTCTGTGTATGGTTCGGGGCTGGCGCATTCTTCTTGTGTGAGCGCCAAACCCCTTCACACCATGGAGATGATGATGATGATGTATGTTTTGGGCTGCATTGCAATATTGATTGTTCGGATAATTGGTATCTAAGTTTTCCGCTACGCTATCTTGTACTTTGTATTGAGAGGTCGGTTCTTGTTCTGGTTCGCAACCTTACGGTATGCAACAGGATGATTTGGGGCGGCATGGACTTGCGGTTGGTTGGGGAAGTGTCCTTGGAGGACGTGGTGCAGTAGGGACTGCGTTGAGACGGTCCGGGATGTTGAGGCAACTTGAGATTGATCATGGGAGCACCCTCTTTGAGGGTTCTCTTATTTAGACGTCTCAGTGGACCCGACCTTGGTGTGATCGGACACTTGGAGACGGACACGGGCCTTGTATCATGAGAGAGGCCACGACTTGTGGAGTTGTGAGCCACATATTCTACTACGGTCATTTTCTTTTGATCAGAATATTACTCAGGCTTTCTCGACTGAGCCAGATCAAACTTCACTCAAGGTCAGTCAGTTAGTTGATTGACTCAGACTTCCCCTTCACACCTGTGTGAACCCGCACTTTGCTTGACCCTGTTGTTTTGAATGTTCGAAAGAAAAGGTTGAGGAAAGTTGTGTGAGTCATGCACGTGAATGGAACGGTCTGACTTCAGTATGGGATTGTACTAGTTTTCTCTTGTACCTGTTGTCTTTGCGTGTTGTGCAGGTAGGTAGAAGAATGTTGTAAAGGACAAGTATTATGGTGTCTGCTCGGAAAGATGAAAAAATTGTTTTCTTTCTACATTTCACTTGCCTGCTTGTTAAAAAGACTTGTCGTTTTGAAAAAAAATATATTCGTCGTGTGTCATAGAATGAATACGCTTGAAATAAAGTAGATGAGGTCAAATGGACTTAGTATTTTCCCTAGGATTGACCCATTCTATCCCGAATGACATTATCTACATGTACATGTTCAAATGATTCTCATTCTTTACCTTTCCTGAATTCTTTTCGTCTAAGTTACCCTGGACTTAGGATAGTTGAAAATAATTGAGAGCAACTTGCAGTGGACACTTCCTCTATCTCTAGGAAGCATCTCGGGCGGGGGTTCGTTGATTTAGGAACCGGCCCTGTTATCGACGGGAGTGGACCGTTCTACGGGGGCGTACTTTGCCGATTCGATGGAGACGGCCCGACTTCTAATCCGAGTCTTGGGCTCGAATGAGGAGGAGGATTACCCCATACCACTTCCTAGAGGGAGTGTTCATGCAACACTTCAAGCAATGCCCCTGATCAAGAATTAACCGCAAAGCAACCTGTCATTCAAAATAAGATTGAAAGTGTATGAAGACGTGTGTGTGTCGAATCTTAGGTCATCTTTAGGCTGGAATGAATGACTTTGGCAACGCGTCTCATCAAGTCAGGACTAAGGCAGTCGACTACCTTGTCGGTTGCATCAATGCTATTGTCGGTAGCCAACTCCTTGTTGGCGGTTGTATAACTGTTTCGTGGAGTTCGACCCAGGACGATCGGATTGTATTTTGATCTTGTGTGATTGGATGTACCTAATGATGATTTCCTTTTAGTTATCATTTCATATTGAAGGTTTATTTCTTCCGATTACGGTCAATCCATTAGATATAATAATGAGTGGATGTTATAAATTTTCTTTTGACAGTGTGTGTAAGGGACTAGGATGAATTGGGGTTTCACCCTTGGTTCAGACCGTCCTAGTCGACTGGCATCCGCTTCGTACTTAGGAGATCAGCGTCCTAAGAACGAACGACATTCGGGTCCACTCGGCGTTGACCAAGCGTATCTATACTACAGCGAACGAGCAAACGCCCTCGGCTGATCTACCTCTGCGATTGCATTTAAAAACTTTCGCATGTGGGTCAATAGCTCGGTAGGGATACGCCCCTAAGGGTGGTGACAACCCCTTAGGGAAGGGAAAGCTTTAACCCGCGAGAACCTATCCTATCGTAGGGGACCGCGGGATGTACAGTTGGCGAACCCAGCTAGAGCGGCAAAGGGACGTCGCAACCACAGTTGTCTTGACGGTTCGCGAAATGTTATGCCTCGTTCCCAAGTTGTCTCTGTTTTTGTTTTGTTTGCATAACATGCCCGGGAGGGCTCCTGCGCTTTGCGAAAAAGGCGGGAGCCGATGCGCTCGACAATGCCAGCCGCGAATTGTGGTATTCGCCAAGGAGGCGAGTGCGCAAGATGCGGTCTCGGGGAACACACAACAAATCCTTACCTCGCGTATGGAGAAGCAAGTAGTCGTCGACACTGCGATAATTGCTTATTGGCGGGTGATCCGATGATATGCGATAATTGCTTGTTGGCGGGTGATCCGATGATAAGTTCGCGTAGAGTGTGGAGAATCCCGGATCTGACGTGTACCCATTTACGAAATGTTGTTCCAGGTCCTCATCGAGGCCGAACGTGGAGTGCACCAAGGCGCAAAGATCGGGTCTTCGCGAGAGAGCATCCGCTGCCTTGTTCGAGGGGCCTGGAATATGCTTGGAGGTGAAGTCGAACTGGTCAATGAAATACATCAAGCGATCGATCGTGTTGCTCTCCATGTCTTGCATCTTGTAATAAGTCAACGGATTGTTGTCTGTTGCCCACGGGAATCGTCGACGGCCGAAAAGAAAGTGACGCCAACGCTTAAGTACTATGACGAAAGCTAGCAGTTCCTTCTT